GGCAACATCAGTATAATACATCAAAGTAGTGCTTACCTTAGTCACATCATCTTGCATGCCCATGGCTCGAAAGTACTAGTCCATCCCCTATAGAAAATTGTCCACTTCCTTAGTAACCTTGGTCCCCTTGAACTCTTTAGGCTTGGGGACATCCATATGAGGCCTAGGCACTCCAACAAATACACCATTCCCAATGGCTATTTGGCAAATAGTGAGCTCCCTTTTGAGCTCCTCCATCTCCTTGCACATGGTCTCTACCAGGGCCTCCAAGGACTTGTTCCACTAGGTGAACATGTTGATGGTTTGGTTTGAGGTAGCTTGTATCTCACCCTTGAACAGCTATTTCACGGAGTCTAAATCCTTAATGTCGGTCTCCACTTTGTCAAGCTTCTCCTTCACATTAACCACTGTCACTTCCACCTTGGATAACTACCAATCCATGGTAGACCAAATGTCCCTTGAACTAGCTTTCTTGCCCCTTTTATGGCCTTGCTTTTGGGCCTCTAGTTGTTGGCTAGCAACATCACTCTAAGATGCCATTTTCACAAATGCCTTGACTGTGACCTGAGCACAACTGCCAAGTAGAACCTACTCTGATACCAGCTATCATAGGCTCTTGTCTTAAGCCAAACTTCATTTATCCTTAGATTGGGAGTGAACTCCATATGCTTGAGTCAACCTATAAAACAAGTGTACAAGCACAAAGTAACATCAAAAGGTAGAATACACAAGCTAAAAACATAAAGGAATGCTGGCATGCTCTGTATATTACTCAATGGGGAATTGGATACAAATAAGGAAGGGGTGGCCTTCTATTTTAGTTGAGGCCCTAGCTTTTATTTTAGTTGAGGCTCTAGCTCTGGTATAGTAGTTCTTAATATCAAGGGATAGCGATTTCAAAGTTAAAAATATAGATTACATCTTAATCTTAAAGATTAACTAGTCCCTTTTTGTATGCTACAAATTTTGAAGGCTTCTAGATGGTTTTGGTTCTACCCCATTTCTTTGGGCCCACCTAGGTGAGGTGTAGGCATGTTACGGGTATGGTCCTAGTGCTACGATAGGCTTGGTTGTTAGGCATGTGGTCAGACACTTCTACCATTGTTATTGCATGAACCCCCACTTCTATCTTTGGTGCTCAAGCCTAGGCTATTGGTACGTAGGCCTTAGCTCCTTATATGCCTACCCGTGGCATGACACACGAGCTTGGCTAGGCTAAGGCATTTTTATGGTTGACAAGAAGGGACCACAAGATTGGCACATACTTGAAAGACTTGACCAAGCCAAGCTTGTGATCGTAAGTTCTACTTGCACCAACCGAAAGAGCCATTGCTTTATTCAAGGACTTGGTTTAGGGTTTGGGTTAGCATCAGCCATAGGCACAAGCTTAAGCATAACTCTCTTTTTTCGTATGCACGCTAACTGGCCAAGGCTATCGGTGTTTGTGGGTCACTAAAGCAACTAGTCACTAGACAAAATGGCCAAAAGACATGCATGGCCTGGATGTGTGCAATGATAGGCCCATTATACACACTTGCTCCCTCATGAGGAGAGGGTGGCCCAGACTACCACCTCTTAAAGAGCATGAGAGATTTTACAAATATAGTAATAGTAGACATTAAGGTGTCTAAAAAAGGACACTTTCTTCAAATAGGCATATCCCGCATTGAGGGTCCATAGGTACTGATGGTGTTTGAGGCAACTACCCACACCAAGGGCCATCTTTTAGCGATGTTGATCGAGGCATGTGCTAGCACCAATTCTAGATTGTGTTGATGTTGATCAAGGCATACATGTACCGATGGTGGTCATGGCAAGTGCTCGTACCAAGGGCCAACTTGTGTCGATAGTGGTCAAGGTAAGTGCCTATGTCATGCCCTGGGTGGATGGACCAGGAGTTGAGGCCTGAGCACCTATGGGCAAGGCTTGAGTACCAGGGACCGCTATGAAGGTTAGCATAATAAGCATGGGAGATAAGCCTAGATTGCACGTATTGCATGTAGTCCTACCCACATAGCTAGGACCAAGCCCACAATGTGCCTGCACCACACTTAGGTGGACTTAAAGGAGCCTGGCTGATCTAGAATCTTCTAGAGGCATCTTGGATCAGTAGCATTTAGTAAGAGGATCTGGTTAACCTTGAAAATTAGAAAGAGCCTCATGTAATCTGTGTAATAATGTGTAATCCTTGATTTTTAAGAATCTTGTAAATCCCTTTATTTTAGGAGATAACCATAAGTAGAGTTGGAAGCCTCAACTATAAATAGAGGGTCACCCCACTTTTAGTTGTATATCATCAGACACACTGTTTTTTAGTAATACACTGTATATTCCAACATTCTTTATTTTCTCTCTCACTTAAGTATTCTGCCTTTCCAGTTGTTTGTTTGCCTGCACGCTTGGTTTTTAGGCTGACTTAGACTTAAGGAACACATCTTTTGTTTAAGGCCACATGGATTCTAAGTCAGAGGTCGAAACCTGTGACAGTTGATATCATAGCAGGTTCGGTGTAGGTTCTGTTCAATGGTGTTCAGATCACACTCAAGGCATTTATGAAAACGGCATCCTAGAGTGATGTTGCTAGCCAACAACCAGAGGCCCAAGAGGAAGGCCATGGAAGGGCAAGAAAGCCAGTTTGAGGGATATTTGGTCTACCATAGATGGGAGGCTATCCAAGATAGAAGTGACTATAGGTGATGTAAAGGAGAAGCTTGACAAGGTAGATGCTCACTATAAGGAGATAGACTTCATGGAAGAGGAACTCAAAAGAGAGTTACAAGCTACTTTGAATGAGGGCATCGACATGGTCACCTAGCAGAATGTAGCTTTAGAGGCCAAGATGGAGACCATGCACAAGGAGATAGAGGGGCTTGTGAGAGAGCTTACTGCTTGTAAGATAGCCATTAGGAATGACGTGTTTGTTGGAATGTTTAAGACACATGTGGGCCCAAAAAGTTTAAAGGGACTAGGGTGGCCAAGGAAATAGACAACTACTTATAGGGATGGAGCAGTATATCCATGCCATAGGCATGCAGGACAATGTTGTTAAGGTAAACACCATTTCAATGTATCTTACTAATGTTGCCTTATTGTGGTGGAGGCACAAGTGTGATGATGTCAGGCACGGAGGTGTTATGATTCAAATATGGGAAGAGTTACAAAAGTAGTTTTAGCCAGAATACTCCAATGATGAGATGTAGGCAAAGTTAAGCTAACTTACTTAGCAGGGGACATAAGGGAGTATGTCTAGAAGTTTTCTAAATTGATGCTTCAGATTTCATATTTGAGTGAGACCAAGCGTTTATTTGCCTTCATGGATAGGCTCAAGCCATGGGTGAAGCACGAGCTACAAAGGAAAGGAGTTTGTGAGTTGCCCAAGGCCATGACCATCACTTAGTCCTTAGTGAAGTTTAAGTTGTAGAATAAGTTAGAGTTTACTAAGCCCAAGAGGAAGGGTAAGGACAAGAAGGACTAGGAGAAGTAGTCTAAGAAAAAGGACCGTGACTACTAGTCCAAGGATAGGGACCAAGACCATTTAGACAAGGGCATCCAAGGCAAACCACCAGCAGGGAAGTAAAAGTAAAGGGAGATCAGGAGTTGATCTCATGCTACTTATGGGGAGAAGCACATCTAGCTTAAAATTACCTAAAGAGAGGTAAGCTAGCTACCATAGAAGTCAAATGAGGAGCTAGAGACTAGGATAGCAAAGATTAGCTCAATCATGCTTAATATTGTCCAGAGTAAGGGGAGCTAGAAGCCAAAGGGCTTGATGTTTGCAAAATTGATAGTTGCAGGTAAGAATGTGAGAGCATTGGTAGACATAAGTGCCTTATATTTGTTTATATCAGGTGAAAGAGCCTAAAAGCTCTGCCTAAAGGTGCATAATGGGATTGGCACCATCAAGATAGTGAACTTCAAGGAGGTTCTAGCCATTAAAGTAGTGCGAGGAATAGAGTTACAGCTTAAAGACTGGAAAGGCAAGGAAACCATCGAGGTAATACCCTTGGATGATTATGAATTTATGATTAGGTTAGATTTCCATGTTTGGATTAATACCCTTCATGTGCCTTTTGCCAACTGCATATGCATTCTAGATGTATGGTGCCAATGCCTTATACCACTACGATGTAGGTTCGAGATTGGGTCCAATGTGCTATCAGCCCTTCAATTTGCCAAGGTGGTGAGTAGGGATAAAAACACCTTCTTGGCTACCTTGAAGTATGAGAAACCAATAAAAAATAAGACTAACACCCTCTTGGATGTGCTCGAGGTGTTAGAGACCTTTAGCGATGTGATACTCACAAAGTTGCCTAGCAATCTACCACCTAAAAGAAAAGTGGACCACAAGATCGAACTGGTACCCAAGACTAAGCCACCAGCCAAGGTGCCTTACCGAATGTCTTCGCCAGAGTTAGAAGAGCTAAAGAAATAACTTAGGGAGTTAATTGATGATGGCTACATCAGGCCATCTAAGGCACCATATGGAGCCTTGGTTCTGTTCCAATGCAAGCATGATGGATCCTTGTAGTTATATATTGACTACCAAGCTTTGAACAAGCTAACCATTAAGAATAAGTATCTTATCCCACTCATTGCTGACTTGTTCAACCAACTTGGAGGTGCAAGGTGGTTCACCAAGCTGGATTTGGGGTCATGTTATTACTAGGTTAGGATCACAAAAGGAGATGAGCCCAAGATAGTGTGTCACCCACTATGGCTCTTATAAGTTCTTAGTCATGCCATTTGGACTCACCAATGCCCTAGTAATATTCTGCACCCTTATGAACAAGGTACTTCAATCATTCCTTGAATGTTTTATTATGGTTTATCTTGATGATATTGTGATCTACAGCCAAACATTGTGAGAGCATGTAGACCACTTGAGATAGGTGTTCGAGGTGTTATAAGTGCATGAACTATATGTGAAGAAAAAGAAGAGCTCATTTGCCTAACAAGAGGTACCATTTCTAGGCCATATAGTGGGAGGTGGCAAGATACACATGGATGCAAGCAAGGTCCATGCCATCCTAGAGTTGGAGTTGCCAGCCAAGGTAACTGAGTTAAGGTTATTCATTGGGATGGTTAACTATTATAGGCACTTCATCAAAGGCCACTCAGTTATAGCCACACCCTTGACTGATTTGCTTAAAAAGGGAAGAGCATGGGAGTGGAGCATTGAGTGCCAAGAGGCCTTTGATTGGTCAAAGAGGGTAGTGACCAAAGAGCTAGTCTTGGCCTTGCTAGACCATGTGAAGCCATATAAGGTGCATCAGACTTTGCAATAGAAGGAGTTCTAATGCAAGAGAACCATGCATTTGAGAACTGAAAGCTTAATGAGATTAAATACAAGTACACGGTCTAGAAGAAAGAGATGACAGCAGTGGTGCACTACTTGCACACTTTGCACACTTGGTGGCATTACCTATTGGAGTCATCGTTCATGGTCAGAATGGACAATGTGGCAACCAGCTACTTCTAAATGTAGAAGAAGTTGTCCCCTAAATAGGCCTATTGGCAGGATTTCCTTATAGAATTTGATTATAGGTTAGAGTATAAGCTTGGACAGGTGAACACAATGGTTGATGCCTTAAGGAGAAATGTGAACCTTGTTGCTATTAGCCAACCAGAGGGGCTTTTGGTGCTGTGCATCAACGAAGGGCTTATGCATAATCCTACAGCCAAAGCTTTCATCGAGCATGCCAAGCAAGGTAAGACTAGACAGTTTTGGTTGTAGGATGACTTGTTATATACCAAGGGTAGTAGGTTGTTTATGCCATAGCATGAGAAACTCCACAGGGAGGTTTTACATGAGTGCCATGATTCGAAGTGGGTAGGTCACTTAGAGGTGAACTGCACTTTAGCCTTGCTAAAAGATTGATACTACTGGCCACACATGAGGGACGATATGGAGGCTTATGTGAAGACTTGTCTTCTATGCCAATAGGATAAGAAACCAAGTAGTCTCTTAAAGCTGTTGCCTATAATAAAGTAACCATGAAAGAGCATCACTCTGGATTTCATAGTTAGTTTACCCAAGGTAGAGGGGTTTAGAAGCATCATGGTAGTGGTGGATAGGTTTTCCAAGTATGGGATTTTCATTCCAGCAACCAAGGGGTGGTTAGTCATAGAGGAAGCCCATTCTTCTTGAGGAATGTGGTGAAGTACTAGAAAGTACCGAGGACCATTGTTAGTTATTGGGGTAGGCGATTCATGGGGTGGTTTTGGACTGAGTTGTTCAAGCTATTGGGGTCAAACTTAAACTTTTTCACCAGCATGCATCCATAGATTGATGGGCAGATTGAGTAAGTGAATGGACTATTGAAGGTCTACCTTAGGCACTATGTGAGTGCCATGCAAGAAAACTGGCCAAGTTGCCAGATGTTGCCTAATTCTTATATAACCTACAAAGGAGTGAAGTAATGAACCGGAGTCCATTTGAGGTTGTGATAGGTTAGCAATCGTTAACACCTGATTTGATTGCTACAAGTTATATAAGGGCCCAATCTAGCAATGTACAAGTTTGCCAAGGCTTGGTAGGAACAAGCCAACTTGGCCAGAGTTTGTCTACACAAAGCCGTGAAGAGGTCAAAAAAGTGGGCAGACCAAAACAAGGGGGACATGCCATTCTAAGTAGGGAACTTGGTCTTGGTGAAGCTGCACCCCATCACACACCATAAAGGGCTATATAAAAGCTTAGTTAGGAGGTATAAGATACCTTTAAGAGTTCTAAAGAGGGTAAGCAAGGTTGCCTACAAGCTGGATATGCCACCCAAGCCAAAGGTTCACCCAGTGTTCCATTTTAGCATGCTCAAGCTGTTTCATGAAGATGAGGAGGGATCCAAGATGAGCTAAGTCAAGGAATGCACCATTGAGAGCTAGGACCTTATATGAGAGAGAGATCTGAAGCATTATTGCTAGCTGGAAAGAAAGGTAGAATAATTATCAGCCAAGATTTGAGTACTTAGTAAATTGGAAGGGACTTATAGATAATGAGGTGAGCTGGGAACTAGCAGAGGACTTATGGCAATTCTAGGACCATATCAGGTAATTACACATAGAGGACATGATAAAGGCATCACACAATTAGGTGGGTGAGAATGTCACACCCTAGGTGGGTGCACCAGGAGTTGAGGCCCAAGCACCTACGGCCAAGGCTCGAGTACCAAAGATCATTGTAGAGGTTAGTGTAATAAGCATAGGAGATAAATCTAGACCGCCCACTTAGCTTGCAGGCCTACGCACATCACCAGGACCAGGCCCGCAACATGCTCGCACTACACCTAGGAGGACACAAGGGAGCTTGGCTGATCCAGAATCTTTTAGAGGCATCAAGATTGATAGCATTTAGTGAGAGGATCTAGTTGACCTTGAAAATCAGGAAGAGCCTCATGTAATTTGTGTAATAATGTGTAATCCCTAATTTTTAGGAATCTTGTAAGTCCCTTTATTTTAGAAGATAGCCATAAGTAGAGCTGGGGGCCTCAATTATAAATAGAGGGTTGCCCTCTTAGTTGCACATCATTAGAAACACTATTCTTTAGTAATAAATTGTATATTTTAGCATTCTCTATTTTTCCTCTAACTTATATATTCTGCTTTTCCAGTTGTTTGTTTGCTTGCATGCTTGGTTTTTAGGCTGACTTAGACCTAAGGAACACATCCTTGGTCTAAGGTCACCTAGATTCTGAGTCAAAGTCAAAGCTACTGACACCTGTAGCAAGGGCTAGCTTGTGTCGATGGTGGTCAAGACATGTGCCTGCACCATGTGCGAGCATGTACCATTGATGGTTGAGGCATGTGCCCACACCATATGCCAGTGTCATGGACCACTCATGAGTCTTAAACTATGAGGGTCATGTGATAGGACTTGCTTGAGATGGTATGGATGAAGCACCAGGAAGGATTGAAATTAAGGCCATAAAGGCATATAAGTTACCCAAGTATGTGGGCCAAGGCTAAGGCCAGAGTGTATAAGTACACTCCTGGTGAACTGTATGGTGCCAGGCATGGGGACTACTTATTGGAAGGTTCTAGAACACCTCAAGATGTGGTACAGGCAGTTAGCCACAAAAAAGGCCTAGAATCACCTAGAGATAGGCCAGGCAAGTAGGCATGGAAAGGCCTAGAACTGCCTAGAGATAGGCTAGGCTGTCGAGCACAAAAAGGTCTAGAGAGGCCCAGAGGTAGGCTAGGTGTTTGTGCACCAAAAGTTCTATACAAGCTAGGTGTAGGTATAGTGTTGGGCATTACGGCACCCAAATGAGGAAACTTCTAAAAGGCTCTAGCTACAAGTAAAATGCACTTAGATAGACAAGGCTTTGGAACCCATTAGGCATGAGCACTCAATAGAAGTGCCCAGACGCTTCTAGACCCAGGGGTTCAGTAGGGAGCTTGAAACCCACAAGAGTCTAGAATGGCCTTAACCATCCTTGTTGGGGCTTAGGCACCTTTAAACTATCTAAAAGGCCTTTAATGGCCATACACTTGGATCCATTGTAATCATAAGTGCCAAAAGAGCTCAAGTATAAATAGGAGAGCCTCCCTCTCATTTTTCCATAGATAGAAAAGCCATAAGGAATAAGTGACAACAAGAGAAGTAAGAGTGCAATGCTTTAGGGACTTAGCCCTTGAAAGCCTTTGTAAAGAACACATAGGGACTCTATTTCAGGAGCAAGTGTACATAATCCATCAAGTAACTATACTACTTTTGCCTTAATCCTTCCCTTTATAGCTTTCTCTTAAACTCATAGGAGGTTAATCGAGTTTCAACATAAGTGAATAGCACAGTCAGTTAGTGCATGGCACAAAGAGTCAATTAAAGGCTTACTTAGGCATACAGATGAAAGTTTCCCACCTAAGGCCAAATGGTAACTAGGTTTAAACTCTCGGCCCATGACATCAGCATGTGCCATTGATGGTTGAGGCATGTGCTGTGTCATGGGCTCTGAAGTTAAACCTAAATCCATGTGACCATAGGCTGGGAATTGACTTCATATGCCTAAGTTTAGCGTACAAAATAAGCATTCGGACACTAGACCAACTACAAATACAGAATACACAAGCTATAAAACATAAGAGAATGTTGGAAACACACTATATATTACTGAAGACAAATGTGTCTGATGATGTATAAAAGAGGGAGGGGCGACCTCTATTTATAGTCCCAGCACTATATGACTACTCCAAAAATCAAGGGATTACATAATTCCTAAAAATAAGGGATTACACATTAATACATAGATTACATCTTGATTCTAAGGATCTATTCTTGGTTATAAGGGTTGACTAGATCCTCTGCTGAGTGTTGCTGATCTTGAATGCTTCTAGATGATTTTAGATAGTTCCACTCTCCTAGGTCCACCTAGGTGTAGCGCAGGTAAGATACAGGCTTGGTCCTAGTTATGTGGGCAAGCTTGAGTGATATGTAGGTGATCTGGAAAATTCTCCCATGCTTATTGCTTAAACCCCCACTTTTATCCCTAGTGCTCAAACCTTGGTCACTGAGGCTCAGGCCTTAGCTCCTGGTGTGCCTGCCCAAGGTGTGACATTCTCTCTGACCAGATTCATGACACCCTTATCACATCCTTTATGTGAAACTACTTGATCTAGTCTTGAAACTACCATAGGTCATCTGTTAGTTCCTAGCTAGCTTTGCTATTTGAAAGCCCTTTCATTGTACCATGTACTCTTATCGTGGTTGATAATTTCACCACCTTACAACCCTATCAGCTAGAATGCATTGGACCTTCTTCTCATACGAAGCCTTGGCTCTCAATGTTGCACGCCTTAACTGTGTCTATCTTGGATCCCCTTGGTCCTCATGGAATGGCTTGAGCATTCTAACATGGAAAGTTGGGTTTACTCGCAGCTTTAGTGGCATATCTAACATGTAGGCAACCTTGCCTACCTTTTTCAGAACTCTAAAAAGTCTTTCATACCTCTAGCCTAAACTTTTGTGTAGGCCTTTTGTCATGCACAATATAGTGCATCTTCAACAAGACCAAGTCCCCTACTTAGAACTACATGTCCCTCCACTTTTTGTTTGCCCATTTCTTTAACCTCTTTGCTATTTTATATAGATAGACTCTGGCTAGGTCAACTTGCTCTTACCAAGCTTTGGCAAACTTGTATACTATTAGATTAGGCCCTGTATAACCTACAACAATTGAATTGGGTGTTAACAATTGTTGACCTATCACAATCTCAGAAGGACTCTAGTTTATTACTTCATTTCTTTGTAGGTTATATAAGAACTAGGTGACATCAAGCAGCTTTGGCCAATCCCATTGTATGGCACTCGTTTATTGCCTAAGGTGGACCTCCAATAATCCATTCACTCATTTAGTCTACCCATTGATTTATGGATGCATGCTAGTGGAAAAGTTCATGTCTGACCCCAACAGCTTGAACAACATAGTCCAAAATTGCCTTATGAATTATCTGTCCCAATCACTAACAATAGTCTGCGGTACTCCCTAGTACTTTACCATATTTTTCAAGACCACCGAGGGAGATGAGCCCAAAACTATATGTGTCACCCACTATGGCTCTTATAAGTTCTTGGTTATGCCATTCAGACTCACCAATGCTTCGGTAACATTTTACATGCTTATGAACAAGGTACTACAATTGTTCCTTGATCATTTTGTTATAGTTTATCTTGATGACATTGTGATCTATAGCCAGACAATAAGGGAGCATGTAGACCACTTGAGATAAGTGTTTGAGGTGTTA